TATGACCTAGGAGTGACGTGTATGCGTTTGCCTCAGAAAACAACGGCCATGATTGGCTGAATAGTCCGCTGTGCCCGCCCCATGAGTGAGGAAAAGAAAAAAATAAAAGAAGAAGAAGCAGAGTCGGTCTGGAAGCGGACCCATCACTACTATAGTTCATCAATAGATTTGTTATTTTGGTTATGACTGGTGTACGATAATTTCCCTCAAAATACGATAATTTTATATCTCTAGTACGATAATCCTACATTTCTCACCTGGCAACGCTGAGAGGCAAATAGGTCATCATCCTTAGAATCAGACAACGTGTGTGGAGACAAATTTGTGGCTGAGGAAGTGGATTGTTCCTTTTTCTGAAGCTCCAGAACCATTGCTCTGGGCCTTCTACACCTTCAGAAAAGGACCATAAATTCATCACATATAAAATGTTACATTGAAACTTTTATTTAATATTTATTTTGTTTAAAATATATATTTTGAATGTAGTTTTTCCTTTACAGTATTGTGCTCTCAAGGTCGAGAGCTTCAGATCTTTTTGCAAGATGTTCCAGGAAACAAGAGTGGAGTAGGAGAAGGCCCTTTTGCCTAGTTCAGTTTTAACTGAGGGAACACTGCGTGTTAATAATGCGTAATGCGTGCGCAATAATGTCCTAAGAGTGCACACTGTAGCTGCACTCACATAGTGACATGAGATATATGAAGGCAACAGACTAAGAAGGAATTTAAAGATGAAAATGTACCAGTGACAGAGTCTGCATGAAGTTAATGATGTCCAGTTAACCAGTGAATACAGGGTGCAGTGATGGGTACGATAGTATGAATCTTAGCGCACCATGATAGACAGCATCCAACATCTGTAAGGTGCTGGCAGGAGCATTCATGTAAATGATGTCACCGTATTCAATGGAGGGAAAGAAAGTCGCAGTCACAAGGTGTTTCCTAACATTCAGAGTTAGACAGAATCTATTTCTGAAAAAGAAACCCAGTTTTACTTTCATTTTCTTTACCAAGTTTTTGACATGGAGCTTAAAAGAGATATGCGATGGACCAAGATACCCAAGTATTTGCAGGAACTGACAAACTCAATAGGGACACCATTTGAAAATAAAATAGAGTTCAAGGACTGACTTCCTGTTTAAAAACAACATCCCTTTGGTTTTGTCTGTGTTTAGTACAAGTCTGAGACGGAACAAATCTGACTGGATGATTTCAAATGCAGATTGCAAAAGCTAGGAAAACTGCAACTGTTTTAACTCTACAGTAAACAACTGTATCATCAGCATAGAAGTGTAATGATGCATCAGGGATGCTCTGACCTACATTACCTATGTAGCTTGTGAAGAGGGTGAGACCCAAGACAGAACCTTGTGGTACACCATTGTTAACAATTAGATAACTGGAAGAAATACCATTAAGTTGAACACATTGCCTCCGATCTGAAAGATAGTTCGAGAATCAACCAATGGTGTGATCTGAGAAACCAATTTCTGAGACCTTATGACACAAGATGTTATGATCCACAGTGTCAAAAGCTTTAGACAGGTCTAAGAAAAGTGCAGCGCAATAATCCTTAGCATCCAGTGCTTCAACAATGTCATTAAAAACCTTCAATGAAGCAGTGGTTGTGCTGTGTTGTTTCCTGAAATTACATTGAAGGAGAGGCAAGATGTTAAAAGAATCAAATACTTCTTAATTTGAGAGTTTGTCAGTTTTTCTAGGACCTTAGCTAAAATACAGAGTTTAGAGATTGGTCGAAAGCTGTTCACTGAGGTGGAGTCACCTCCCTTCAGTAAAGGTAGAACAAAGGCTGTTTTCCAAGCATCTGGAACGGAGTTTTGGCTTATGGACAGGTTAAAGATGTGGGGCACCGGTACTGCAATAATATGAGCGGCCAGCTTTAAGAAATAAGGTGGAAGTTCATCTAGTCCTACAGATTTTTTAGAGTCTAGACCTTATAATAATTTATTAACCTCACTAACTGAGAACGGGGAAAGTGAAAAGATGTGGTTTACTGAAGATTGAATTGTAGGAGAGATTTGATTTGTAGATATTTGGCTTAAAGGACAAGTAACTGGTTCTCCATTAGTAACTGTGGCAAACAAGGAACTCGAAGCAACAAAATGGCACTTGGCACTTACGCGTCTTCATTAGGAAAGGGAAGCAAGCATCTGTAAGGGGAACAAAAACAACTGCTCCTACTCTGGCTCGGATATATATGGTTTCTGGAAGTTTATAAAGCTGTAATGGTTCTCATGCTAGTAGCCTTGAAACAGAGTCTTCTGTTAATTAAATTTCTCTCATGTTTGTAGCCCAGAAACAAAGGTGTTACGTCAAACTTTAACTTTTGTATGTGGGTTTGATGGGAAAGGGTTTGCTGCTTCTTGCTAAACAAAGAACTCTGTGTGTTTTACTGAAACAGCTGCAGACTAACTGATAAAACAAGAAACACTAAAACCTCACTCACGAGTTTCTATAATTTTAATTAGAGTAAAGAATTTAATATCCTAGCACTAACTTTTCACAACATTTGGTTCTGAGTCAGTATTTTCATGCTTTCTATGAGCGTTTTTGCAGTTTGTGGCTCTTAGCTTGCACTTTCTTACATTCTGCTAATGTTTTGTCAATTATGGCTTTTAGATAGCATTTTACTAAATTCTGGTAGAATTTTTCTAATGACAACTGTATTTTACTACTTTTTGCTTTTGCTAACTCCAGGGCAGCAGGAGGGTTAAAATGTATATACATTTCATGTACACTTCACAAGTGAAACCAACTGAAAAACTTTGGATGATGCAATTGCCTCTGTCTATGTGTTTGTAAGCAAAATATGTCATAAATTAGTGGACAAATTTTAAAGGGGAGCATCACCTTTGACCACATTTTGTTTAATTTTACAACACCAAACACTTACAGGGTCTCTGTGTCTGCTGAGAAGATGGAGACTGTTGGCAGCAATCAATACAACTGCTACTTTCTCAGCCTCTGTCGGAGAAAACTGCTGTGATCAGGCAGATTTCTGGTCAGTTTGTACAAAAAAGGATGTCGAGCTGTAGCACAATGTCTGACGCAATATCTTGAACCTTTCACAGGGGAGTAGCAAGTGTGAGAGTTAATCTAATACAAGTAGTTTGTGATGTGTGCACATCACAAACATACACTCACGTTTATGTCTGGCAAAAACACTACAGGGTTTTGTGAGAATGCACGTAGGTGGATCTCAAGACAGACGGGATCTCCAGATCTAGGTGAAGGAGGTGCTAGGTTTTCTTTTCCACTGCACACTTGCAAATAAATTTCATCTTCCATCTTTAAACAAATTATTAAATACAGCGCTCAAATAAAACATTAAAAAAAATTGTTAGTTCCAGTGAAACTGCTAACACAATAATTGGACATTTAGATTAAAAAAATGCAACATATAGTAAATAAAATTGGACTCCAGCCTGATAATTAACTACATTTTGACAGATTTGAATAGTTATAATGAGATTAAGATACAAATAGAAAAGACTAACACAGTCTAACTGCATCTCTATAGATCTCCTTTTTGTCTTTTAAACAAACAGACTAAACAACAACACTAAACAAACAATCAACACAAAAAACCCATCTGAACAATTAACACAAAAAAGTCTGTCCATTATGTTCCAAGATTACCCAGCAGCCCCAGCGGCTCACTCAGCTTCTCCAAAACATTGCAAGGTATAGTGACGAAACATTTCAACAAAAAGAAACCGTCCAGAGGACCTGACTTAACATTGTTGGATAATTAATGACAGTTTGCAACAACCAATGTGAAATCAATTGTAATATTCACCTGTATTAATTTAATGAAATGATAATGATATCAAAATACATTATTAGACTAAAGCTGGGGTGAGCAACATTTTTTATCCAGAGGGCCAAATCAAGATATTGAAAGCAATCAAAGGGCCTCATAGAGAATTAGAAAATACATTTTCTTTAAAATAGATATCCTCGGTGTCTCTTTTCAGGCTTTTTCTTGTTGTAGCATAGTTAGCATGCTTGATTAAAATGTAATATTTATGATGTAAAACTTTATATTTATATTTATTATCTTGCTCTGTGATGGACTTGCGACCTGTCCAAGGTGTACCCTGCCCCTTGCACAGTGATTGCTGGGCACCGGCAACCCCCGGTACCCAAAACTGGAAGAAGTGGGTAAAAGATAATGGATGGATGGATATATTATCTTACATTATAAATATATTACATTTAATCTTTGTTAGCTGAAATGTGCAAAATAATTTTTTTAATTAAAACATACAAAAATAAGTCGACAAAATTGATGGTTTTAGCATTTTATATAACCTAAATATATTTTTTTAAGATGCTAAATTTGGATTTAATTGAATTTCATTGATAATAAAATGCAGGTTTTCATCAACTCATGTAAAAGTTGTTTTCTCTCAATTACTGTATATTGGGGGCCGGATAGAGATTGTTCAGGGGCCACTTTTGGCCCACGGGCCATATATTGCCCACGTCTGGAGCAAAGTAAAAGGCGTCCTTTATTTTGAAAATATCTTCCTGTGCTTGCTGAATGGACATTTTCCATCGTGACACCCGGCATGGCTGATGGTTAAACCCGACCTTGAGACTCAATCTCTCCTCTTTTCTCCATTTGTAATGAATTAAACCTTCAACCGTTCAGTCAGAACAAGAACACCGCCGTGTCTAAGCGAGCGCAGGCAAACTGTGGCGAAATTAGCGTTTATAAACACACGCGCGTTATACGACTCTGGATTTATAGTGGACTGTACCAAGTGGAAAAGAAGGGGTGTGTCGAGGAATAGCAAAGATTGGTTTAAATGTTTTATATTATAAACAAATTTAAAGGTGAAGCTTTCCTTGGATGTCTATTAGGAGTTATCTGATGCAATAATCTTAGGGGTTGCTAACGAGCGGGCGGAGATGCTGATGGAGGGGCGGGGACCCCCCCTTGATTAGCTCCGCCCTTCTGCCTTTCAACTCGGTGAAATCCGGCGCTGAAGTGAAGCTATTCAGGTCTGTGCTGTGGTCGGAGCGAATAAACCAGTGATGATGTCTTCCCCGTGCATGTGCGCCCACAATTTCATCCCCTGAGACGGAAACGATCGGTACTCACAGGTGAGCCTCTGCTTTTCACCGGGTTTAAAGCGGGGTGGGGTGATGCGCGCCTCGGTGTGCGCGTGAGGCTGACCGAGGGTACCATCGAGGGATGAGGATGATGAAACACCTCGCATGGATGCCGCGAAGCCTGCGCGCGAGGCACGACGATAATTTATGTGCATTCTTCACGGAACAAACTGTGCCCGCGACGGACAATGACCCGCGCGTGTCGCTTCACGTGGAAATAAGCCCGTTCTGCGTTACCGTAATTCTTGTAATATTAGATCAAAGCCGCGCAGGATTAAAACGGAAAATGTTGAAAAAGCTTTGTGTGCCGAATTAATTTCCATTGGTTTACACCAACTGTTTGTTTTTGTATTTGATGTGGATTTTAAAAATGGTAAGGGTTATCAAGCATCGCTAATTTGAGCTGCTTCATGAAACGGCCTTGGCCTCGAGCAGGCTAATCTGACGGAAATTATTAATTTAATCCCGAAATAAAAAGGGACGGGAGGGGAGAAGCGTCGGGAGTTTCCGTCGTAATATTATTTACAATATATTTTTGAAGGGTTGAATTAACAAAAGTACGTTTAAGGTTGAAAATGCGCTAAAATGTGTCAGACAGAAAAGATGCTGCGCACCTTCCCGGGCTGCCCACACCCCGGCTCTCCTCCTGACAATACATCACCATTCTCTCTTTGTTTTTAGACTAAACTGTCAAAAAAATACCTTAAACACTTTCTTACAAATTACGTTTTCTGTTTTTGTTAGTAGAGGACGGAGAAAGAAGGGATGTTTGGGGATGGATGCAAATAGCCTTTGTCCTCTCAATTATTCAGGAGGCTGACAACGTGATCCATCCTTAGACCCGTTCCTGGCCCGGTGTGAAACCAGGCTAAATGCAGGCCTTTACTTTCTTATGAGACCAAAAGGATCCTCTTTCAGTGATGTCCCTGCCAGCCCTGATGTTATCTCTGTGTCTCTCAAATATGAATGGACTATAAATTATATATAGCCTATATATATATATTTTTTATTCTCTATAATTATTCCTATAGAGTGGATTCTATCAAAGTTATTATTTGCCAGTGCTTTAGTTGCGGGGAGTGGTGGCGCAGAGGTTAGAGGAGACGAGCCTCGACAGGTCGGTTCAAACCCCATGGGCCAACAGCATTAAAATGTGAGTGAAAAAGGTGAAACACCCACACCTGCCTCCACTCTGGGCCCTTGAGCAAGGCCCTTAACCCCCACCACCTGCTCCGCCAGGCGCCCTAGATAGCAGCTCTGTGGTTGCGTCAGGACGTAAAAACAGTTGCCAAGTCTTTGTGCGAGTTAGTTCGCTGTGGAAGAAGGGAGCAGCCGAAAGAAGAAGAAAAAAAAACTGACAGTGCTTTTAGTTAAAGGGATATTTCAGCTATTTTGAAGTGGTGCTCTCCGTTAAAGTTATTCACTAACAGCCAGCAATGTTCAGTCAGGTCATCTGGACAGTTTCTTTTTCTTTCTTTTTTTTGTGCTGAGACGTTTCGCCCTCCATCCAGAAGGCTTCGTCAGTCTGAGGAAATGCCAAACAAAACTGATATTCCCTCAACAGCCTACTCAGAAGTGGAAAAAAAAAACACTTATGTTGGTGCTAAGATGGCCTCTGGGGCACGCCCTCTCTCTCGTCGACGAGTCATGTCAAACTGGTTCAAAACATCAAAGTCCATGCTCAGTAATCCAGGTATAATTTACACCTGGATTATAAAGCCTTATTGAGCGTGGACTTTGGTATTCATTAACATCTTACCTTTTGCATATACAGTAGTCCCTCGCTACTTCGCGATTTGTTTATTGCGGACTCGCTTTATCGCGGTTTTTCAAAATAAAATTGGACATGACACACAATTGGCTGATTGATGGATGAACCTCACGATCAGCATGGAATGTTTATTTAAAATAAATTATTTTAAATTATTTAGCACCTGCTGCACCTTTGTGCAGCCCACGCTGCAGGATAAACTTCCTCCTGCAGCTGATCAGCTGATCTCTGTGCAGAGCTGAGAAGTGGGCGTGGCCGAGAGCGCTTGCAGGGGCAGAGATCAGACGAGGCAGAGAGCTGAAATCATGACATTCTGTGCTCTTTTAGAACATTTAGAGTTTAGAAACATTGTTTAGAAGATTGTAAGAGTGTGGGAAGGGTTTAAAATGCCTTTTATAAAATCTGCACAAAAGCTAAAATAAACTACTTACTTGTACAGTAGTCGATCGTTTATCGCGGGGGATCCTTACCCTGAAGCTCCGCAATAAGTGAAAAACCGCAAAGTAGGAATAGTAGCACAAGTAGTAAGTAGTAGTTTATTTTAGTATTTTTTTTATACTGAATATATTAAGGCATTTTAAACCCTTCCCACACTCTTGCAAAATTCTAAACAATGTTTATAAACTCTAAATGTTCTAAAAGAGCACAGGATGTCATGATTTCATCTCCCTGCCTCCTCTGCTCTTTGTTACTTGCAAACGCTCTTGGCCACGCCCACTTCTCAGCTCTGCACAGAGAACAGCTGTAGCAGGAAGCTTATCCTGCAGTGTGAGCTGCACAAAGGTGCAGCAGGTGCTAAATATTTTAAAATAATTTATTTTAAATAAAAATTCCATGCAGATCGTGCGGCTCATCCATCATTCAGCCACATGTGTGTCATGTCCAATCTTATTTTGACAAGCGCCGACAAACGAATGATAAAGTAGTGAGGGACTACTGTACTACTACTCCTACTTGGCGGTTTTTCACTTATCGCGGGGCTTCAGGGTACGGATCCCCGTGATAAACGAGGGACTGCTGTAGTTTGAGATTTCCTTTTGGAAAAAAAAGAAGTGGATTTTAAATGTAAAGTATTATTATAAATATTAATATTATCGGCTAATGCCAAAGTAAATGTAAGTGCCAATGGAAAAAAGTCCCTTCTGTGAAAGCTAACTCATAAACGTCCACACTGTTATTAAAGCCTCATGACCTGCTTATTACACAGTCCATCAATTTTCTGTCTTGTTTTGGAGTCTGGTTGTGTGGGCAGCAGTGTCAGCAGCCAGGCCCACACATCTCTCCATATAACCCAGTGTTTCCTCCACCATTACTCAAGCGGGGCGCCGCCCTGTCAACAGAACCGAGGACCCCGCCTACCCCCCCCCCCCCCCCCCCACGCAGCTCCGCTACGTCCAGACAGGGAGCGCAGAGATTGTAGAAGCTCAGCTCAGAGTCCAAACCGTGACAACCACGTGCAACACAGACGTGCTCCGCTGCCAGCAGTGGTTGGGCCACCAACTAGCGCAGTGTGGTGCGGAACCAGTGAGAGTTGAGACGGTGGCAAAGTGCCAGAAATGGCCGCAGCTAGCACATGGAGAGTTATACAAACGTTTCATAACAGAACGTGTGGGTTTATCACAATTGATCTTATCGTTCCAGTGTTCAACAGAAGTATCACAATTCCATGCTTTTCTAATTTCCCGCAGTTTTTATCCATTTTGGTGTTAGCGGTGTTTGGATTAGCTGTTAGCTTGTCAGTCATGTCAGCCGTAAAGTCTATTTCACCAATTTGGGGTCATTCAAAGAGGTAAGATATTACCCATAACAGGTGTGATAGTGTTTTTTTTTTATAACTTTTATACAGAAGACCTCGTAAAATGGCCCAAATATAATTTATTTATTCTAAATCAGTCAATCCAGTCACACTAATCCAGTTGTGTTTTGTTGTTGTGATCTCAATGTTTGTTTTTCTGCCCCACAGATTTTTGGTGATAATGAAGAAATAAACTCCTTTCTAACATCTCAATCTTCACAGACTCTTAATAACCCCCACAAAGCCCTACAAACCGCCACAGTTTATTAAAAGGTGACTTTTGCGAGTCGCAGTCTCTGCCCGTCATCCAGAAACAGAAGTAAAAAAAAGACGTTCCACTGCCCTCGCTTTTGTTTGCTTTATCAAATGCCCAAAAACAGCAAGGCCGTCAAGAGAGAGCTTGACGATGATGTCACAGAGTCTATCAAGGACCTGCTTTCCAACGAGGATGCCTGCGACGATTCCTTCAAGAAGAGCTCGCTGATTGTCGACAGCCCTGAGGGGGAAGGCAAGGAGTGTGATGTGGAGGAAGGAGGCTCTGACGGTGAGGAGGAGGAGCGCCCGGCCTGGAACAGCAAGCTCCAGTACATCCTTGCCCAAGTAGGCTTCTCTGTAGGCCTGGGCAATGTCTGGAGGTTCCCCTACCTGTGTCAAAAGAACGGAGGAGGTGAGTTTCTCCCAGTGGACCTCATTGCCAGTTACTGTGAGCTATGTAGCTGCCCCACCCCCTCACTCTAAAACACATACACAATAAGGAACAACCTGATTTATGTGATTACTTTGACTGAACTGTTTAATCTTTATGGATGTAATTGTCCCTGAGCTTTACTTTGTCACATCTCACCACGTCTTTCCAGCGATGCTTCATGATTACGTCTCCTTGACGTCTCCAGTCACAGCCCGTCTGTACTTCTCAGTAAATGATCATGCACTTGCAGCTTTTCCGCTGTGTTCACAAAGTGTGGGATCTTTGCTCTAGATCTATTTATCGATACGAAAGACTTTGCTAACGGAGAGCCACGATTTGTTCTGTCGCTGAAGGCGTTTGTGTATAAAGTGACACGATTAGAATAACTACAGACTAATTTGAAAATACACGACAGAATGCGCCATTTTCCACAACGTCCTTTTCGTGATTTCATTGACCGCTTACAGGCTGCTGCTTTGATAAAACCCCAACATGTATGTGCCCTCTAAAGGTGATAATTCCCAACAGATTATATAAAGCACTGCCTCTTCAAAGCTGATTAAATGCAACAGTCTCAGACAGGCTCACCTGACAGGATAGAAACTCTGTCTAAGTGGATCGTTGTATGAAATTAAATACTTTCAATGGGCTTTTCACAGCAGTTTATATTATCGTTCAGTATTCATTTAATGTACTGTGAAAACCACCTAAAATACTTATACAACATATATAAAATGTACTGTATGTGGCACTAGGTAGCATATATTTAGCTTGTCAGACGTGCGCCAAACACATGCACACTTAACAATTTGTATAACTCAGTGTTTAATAAAAAGATACATTTTTCATTGGAACTAGCCTTTAGCTCATTAATCCAATCAAAATTAAACTTTATTTATCCAAACTGCGATCATTCAAGCATCTGTACAACAGGTTAGATATAAACTCATTTTCTTGTTACAAACCTTCAAAGATCTAAACCATATTTTACTTTCTTCCTGCCTCCATTTAAAGGACCACAGCACTTTATTATGTATTATTGTGTACTTTGTACACCATAAGTAGTTACTGACAGTGAAAATAACTTGAATAGTTCATGTGTTTTACAGTATTAATCCAATTAAAATCAGCATTATTAAAAAAACACAAAGTTTTCCACTGAGAAGATGATAATGATTATGCATCCGTACATGTAGGCCTGTCACGATAACAAATTTTGCTGGGCGATTAATTGTCTCAGGAATTATTGCGATAAACGATAATATTGTTTGAAATTTGACAATAATTAGTAATTATTGTCAAATTTAAGAAGAAATGTTGATTTGTTTTGAATATAGTACCTTTTTTCGACCACCAGATGGCAGTATAAGACTGTTTGAACAGAAGGATGGATAGTGAGGGAGCGAGTAGCGTGTCTCTTTAAGAAAAATGGGAGGGAGGCCCCTGGTTTGAGCTCTTTAGCATAGCATTTTTCACACAAAGCTTTTAATTTAAAAAAAAATAATCAGTAAACAGCTTCTTTTTGCAGAGAAAAACAACTTTTTACACGAAGGCACCGGTTTCACCCGTGAATTTTGGAGCTTTGACAAGACAAAGGTTTTTTCCAGAGGTCGGCCTGTTAGCTCGTAGCTTAGCTTCTCAGCTTAGCTGCTTTTAACGATCCAAAAACGTAATTTTGGACGGTTAAAACAGATGTTAAAGAGAAAGGGAGGGGGTCATTGAAGACAACCGGAGTTGAGCTTTTTGTCGTCCAGTGTCTTCAGTAGAAAAAGAGACACGAAGAAACGAAAAAGCCGATAAATGAAAACGAGGTCGATAATTTTCATTTATCATGCGATTAATTGATTTATTGTTTATTGCGACAGGGCTATCCATATGTATTTGTTTGTGAAAGAGGAGGATTCACAGCCTCGCCTCCTCGTTGTGTTTTTAGATTTGTTTTAAGCAACTCTTTCCCCCTGCTGTGTTCATCTGTAATTTGATTAAAATGGCAGATCTGGGGCTGGTACAGGCCTCAGTGTTCGTTTTATTTTTCTGAGGACCAGTGCGAGTGTCGAGCTGAAGACATTCTCACTAACAGTTAATAAAAGAACTGTTTGAGGGATTTCGCTTATTAGAGATCAGGCTATGGTTAGACTGAAGAGCAAAGGCTTCAACACAATGTCAAAGGTTCTATTTTTTAAATTTATTTAAAAATAATATACAGGTAGTCTTACTGAGTCACGAGGACTCATTTACAAGAGGAACCTGTTTTAGACAGACAACAATGTACAACAGTAAACAGCAATTATTGTTATAAGTACAATAAAATCAAGGTGCCATGTAAAAAAAAAAATCTATGACAATATAATGCATACAGCAGAAAGTTGTTTTATGTGACTAGCTTTATAGAAAACAAAGTGAATAATAAAACTCACATTTCAAAATAAATGTATTCTAAAAATGATTAAAATGATGTTTATGACAAATCTAAAGTGACGCACTTGGTAGAGCGGTTGCGCTCAGCGAGAAGGTCGTCCCGGTTCAAATCCTGGTCCGGGGAACTTTCTGGGTGGAGTTTGCATGTTCTCTCCGTGCATGCGTGGGTTTTCTCCAGGTACTAGTTCCTCCCACAGACCAAAAACATGCATGTTAGGCTGATTGGTAACTCTAAATTGTCCCTAGGTGTGAATCTCGTTTGTCTCTATGTGTCCCTGTGATGGACTGGAGACATGTCCAGGGTGTCCCCCGCCTCTTGCACAATGACTGCTGGACATGGGCACCATGACCCCCACAACCCAAAAAGGAAGAAGCGGGTAAAGATGATGTATGGATGGATGGAAGTTCATGAGGACTAATATGTTTATAAGAAAAAATACACTTTCACAAGGTTGTTGGCTTTGTTAGTTGCTCTACCAAAGAATCTGCAGAAAAATATTTGTGTTTTCTGTAAGACAATGGAGACCACTTGAGAGTTTTTTGAAGCGGCCCGATGTCAAAGCCTCTTCCCATTATAAACTGTATCAAGCAAACCAGAACACATGTAAAACAACTGACAGCCAACCTGATTGTGTGAGTACTGTCCTGCTCATCTACACTAGCTATAGGTGGGAACAACAAGACTCAGGAACGGAATTGATTCAACACTTTATTAGATGCAACAACAATAATGTGTCTGTAAAACCACCCGTGGCACCGTCTTCAGTGACTCACAGGCGCATATCGACCCACCCGAGCTCACATCTGTTGTTGCGGTTCGTCCTTGAGAAGGGAAAGAATGTAATCTTTGTTTATAAAGTGTGGGACAGAGTTTGTTCAGAACACAACCACGGTGTAACTCGGAAAGTGGGATTAGAAAGCAAGATTTTCTGGGTTTTCTGTGCTGTAATGATGCGGCGGTGTCTAAGGTCTTTGTGGTTGTGTTTGAAACCCACAGGGAATTTCATTGTGTGTGAGGTTGCAATTTATTTTTATGTAATAGAAGAATAAAAGGTACATTATTTTGAAAGAGTCTTGTTGCCTGGCAGTCTTTCTGCTCAGGTTCCCTGACTGACTCCAGAGATATTCCCTCACGTGTTTTATTGCTGCACTTTATTACAGCCTGTCTTGATGTTTGTAATTCACTTTGAAACCATAATTCTAGAGTGAGATGTCTTCTTTGTAATAATCCCCCCACAACACACACCCACACACAGAAAGAACACCTCTGTAATTTAAATAATTTCAGACCAATGTTTTTCCTGGTTTCCAGAATGGTTTGATTGCACCACACACACACGATGTTGGTATAATAAGTGCTGTGTGCTTCTTTAACAAAGAAGCTACAGTGCATTTGTGTTGTCCAAAATGTCAACCCAAGGTCTGGGTTGACATTTGTTACATTCATGTGAAATTAAAGTGTAGAAGACAATGGCGTTCTGGTGCGTATTTGTGTAGCACATGGATGTGTGTGTGTGTTGTCACCGTGTGCTGTGGTGCTTTTTAGGAACTGAAATCTGATGAAACTGTTTCATTTCCCTGCTTGTGCTTCATCTGACTTGGCGTCTCCGTTGTTTTGACTGGCAGGAGCATATCTGGTGCCCTATCTGATCTTGCTCATATTGATCGGCATCCCGCTGTTCTTCCTGGAGCTCGCAGTGGGTCAGCGTATCCGCAGGGGCAGCATTGGAGTGTGGAACTACATAAGCCCTCGGCTGGGGGGCATCGGCTTTGCGAGCTGTGTGGTGAGTGACACTAAAGTCTCCTTTTTTTTCTATAATCAAAAAGGGGAACTGGACAAAAAAAAAACAAAAAAACTGATGCAACACTGTATTCGCCTGATTATTTATTAAGCTGACGCAATATAAAATTGTAAGCCACAGTGAAATTGCAAGTAGAAATATTTAACAATAAATAAAAAGCTATATTAATTTGAATTTTGGACTATATTTATCTCTAACTGAAACATCTACAATGGGGGTGCCCGCACTTTTTCAGCATGCGAGCTACTTTTAAAATGACCAAGTCAAAGTGATCTACCTACTATAAGGCCCCGTTTACACGAGAACAACCTCTGGAAACGTTAGTGTTTATTAGGGGTAATAAACAAAAATTGGGCGAGTTTACACGAAAACACTAGTTTCAATTTCGGTCGGGTTGCCAGATAAGAAATTATGAACTATAGTACTGTGGCTTTAAAATGATAGTATTTTGACCTAAACTGTCATATGTGCTGAGTAAAGATATTCTAAGATGAGGTGTATGTTGTGTTTGTTGAACATGTGCACAGAAAAGGAGGAAGTAAACAAGACATTTTAAATTTATCTGGCAACCCTGATGCAGTTCTCAACTGCATTTATTGTGCATGCAGCATCTGCATGACCACAGTTACGTCCAAACTGATGAATACACTAATGTCTCTTTGGAGCCTGGATTTTATTAGTTTTGCTCCTACAGGCTGAAAAAGGGTGAGCAGCACGAAAACACTCTGCTCTCTGCCGTTTATTATAACTGTTGTTAGTGCAGGAAAATCTTTGGACTGCAGCCGCCTGTAGTGCGCATGTGGGACTTCACACTTGCGGACCATTTCACTCCTCTGTGTGGGGTTCCCCCTGAAAATCTCCGCTCAGGGACCTGGATTCAGAAATCTTTGGTTTCAGAGAGAATGAGGGCTGTTGATGTGTAAATGAACAGATGAACATTTCACGTCGTGTAAACGGGACCTCAGACTGACTGCCCTGTATGTCAGTCAAGTGGCAAATTTCATACATGGATGATAGGCTGACTCTATTTATTTTTATGCCATGCGATCTACCCATACTACCCTTTGCGATCGATCAGTAGATCGCGATTGACGTATTGGGCACCTAGGTCTACATCAAGTAGGGAATAGTTTTGGAAATACTCCTATAAAGATATATTGAAAGGTTCAATGGTTAATGCCTTTGAACATTTGAGAATGGAAGTGCAATTGGTTCTGTAAGGGATTTACTCCTGCCCATATTTCAGATCTTCCTGTTTTGTGTATTAACTTTATATCTTGTGTTGCAGGTGTGCTTCTTTGTGGCTCTCTACTACAATGTCATCATCAGCTGGAGTTTCTTCTACTTCTCTCAGTCCTTTCAGCAGCCTCTGCCATGGCATGAATGCCCACTCATCAAGAACAAGACCAGTACATGTAAGATACAGGAACTGGACTGGGGTGATCATGTTCATTGAGCATTTGTTTTGGTGTCTAGACTATAGAAGGGCATACTTTCAATGTTCAAACAATTCCAGAAAGTGTAGTACTAGGAACCTTATTTCTCTTTATTATCAATACTTTACCCTAAATATCAAAAGAACCATACTGGGTACTTTCTCAGTAGAGAAATGACACTTTGTCTGCGTTTCTGTTGCTGTTTGTACACAGGCGTGGTGCCAGAGTGTCTAAAGAGCTCAGCCACCACTTACTACTGGTACCGCGAGGCTCTGAACATCTCCAACAGCATCTCAGAGGGAGGAGGACTCAACTGGAAGATGACGGTATGCCTGCTGGCTGCCTGGTCCATGGTTTGCCTCGCCATGATTAAGGGAATCCAGTCTTCTGGAAAGGTAAAAATCGTTTGTACTATACATCACTTTGGATGACAAACCCTCAGCCAGTGCATTGATGGTTTTTACAGGGCCTTTGTGAGGTCTCCACAGATTAAGAACACAGTGAGCACTCAGTTATGAGATAATTTTACAATGGGTTGTGGCGAGTTTTGGGCATTCACAAAGCTTCTGGTCTTGTTAGTTTTTCATTGTGGTAGCTCAATATCCTGGAACTGAGTGGAGCATTGTGGTAGCTATCACGTGGCCCACACACACTGGCATGGCTTGGTCAACAAGATTTGAAGCAAGACTAGGCTACAACCTCATCATGGCAGCCACTGCTGCTTTTGCTACACCCAATTTAAAGTGCCATGTTGTCACCACGCAACTGCATTGACCAATGAGGATGGAAGTGGTTGAAGTCCTACATTGAAAATCCCATCACTTCCATCCTCTCCTGCTACTGAATGGTGTTTCCTTCTCCACAGCAAGGCTGAAACTGATGGTAAAACCATGAAAACATCTCATTTATCATATTTATAGGAAGATTGTGCAGATTGTGGCAAGGCTATGAAAGCAACCTAATGCAGACATGATGAACGATAGTGGTAGCTTGATATCATGGCAGTGATTTTGTGCTAGTGACATCTTTCAATGAGTAGCTGCGTCCTGACATGGTCCAAGAGAGTTGTGTTATATTTGCTGCTATCCAGCCATAGGTTGTGTAGGTTGTTGAGTCTGTAGTCATTTGTCATCTAGTGTGTAGGGGGGCCGCAACAGCTTAAGTATAAATACAGTGAAGGTATTTTAACTGTAAGAAATACAAGGGGCAGGAAAATTATTTGTGAGAGCAAACGAAGAGGCGAAAACTTAGGAAACTGGCTTTCAACAGCTGCTCTACTATGCTGCTAACTTGGCCTCGTTAACTTCCCTAATACCCAAGCGCTAATGCAAATCCTAAGCAGAGCAAAATGGATAGTAGTCGTTGAAACAAAAGGTCTTTTCATACAGTGTTAGAAAAGTTTCTCAAGCATAATTAGATCACTTTAGCAGGATCTAAAGGTGCTTCAAAGTGACTTCCATAATGTCACTTAACAAATTTTTCTAATGATGCTGTTTCAGATATTAGTCCAAGAGCACATGTGATGCGTTTTCTGGTTCAGATTACTACAGATTAGTGTAGTAAAGCTGACAGTAGCATGACTTCGGAAAGGATTAGCCTGCTGGGTAAAGGTTGCTATTTACTTGGAATCTCTCAGTTCCTCCTGTCTTTGTACAGGTGATCATCTTTACATAGTTTCTCATATCATATGACAAGTATTAGCTGTGTACGTCTGAGGTCAAAGTCAAGCTTGTGCAAACTGGGGAATAGCTTGTTCTTTGTTGGCTTTAATATCCAAGAGTCCATTCTGAAGTTTTCTTTGACTTTATGTCTGTTGTGAACTGCAAGACCGGTTGAAATTGGTATTTGAGTGCTCATGTTTACGTCTTTAAAACAGGAACTTTTTGCAGTTTTCAAGACAACTCAAAGGGTCATTAAGTTTCTAATAGTGCTTGGAGAGTTTTCTGACCTTTTACTTGCCATTTGTTTAAGACATTGTGGGATTCACTCTAAACTCGGTCAGTTTCTGCAAACAGCTTTTAAAAAAGTGTTAAAAAAAAAAAAAAAAACAGCCTCCGGGCTATGATGCTAACTTTACAAAAACTAACAACACACTGCAGGTTGACAGTTGTTAACTTTAACCAAAGCAGCTTGTGAACATTAGAAATGAAGTAGTTTGTATTTATTCAACTTCTAATGTTATCCTTTTAGTCAAGAGCTCCCAACATAACATACCAGTGTAGTTAACATAAATGTGAGGCATGACTATTAAAGCTACCACAGCTCAATGAGATTTCCCAGCGTTGATTCGGACCTTGTATCCCAACAGCTGTCTGCTGTTTGCTTGGCCCCACATTCGTCTCAACAGAGCCAGACAAAACAAGATGGAGCCTTTCACAGCAGAGGTGCTTGATTCTTGGCCTCTACTACAGTGATCTGCAGGACACCCCCTCCCCATCTTCCCACTAACAGACCCTGTTACCTAACTACACTGGTCTTCAATACAGCCGGTGTCCTCAGCGGTTGCAATGGAGCAAATACTGTGCTCATCATTTTTGTGAATTAGTCTGAAGTAACCTGAGCAGACAGTGTAAGAGTCTGAACCAGACTGTCCTGTACCCACCTGGTGTGTTAGGATGGCCATTTTGAGCTGGCCAGTGAATTAACGTTTCCTATGTGTGTGGAGAACAAGTCTCTGTTAAGTCCTTTTTTTGTTGTTGTTTTGTTTTGTTCTGTCTGATACAAAATTTGCCACGCTCACAGAAAAGCCTTGCCTAAAAGGCGTCCCATTCAAATATCTGTTTCTGTACCATTTGGTGAGCGTGGGTGTTTGTGAAAAAAGGATAAAACATTTGGTTGCCTTGGTTACTTACGCTCTTTTGAATTGGTTGCCAGCCGTGTGGCAAAACAAGTTCTTCAGGTTCTTAATGTTGAATCAGATTTTAATTAAAAAAATTGTGACATTTATTGCAGACACTTGGAAATATTTGATCCTATAGTGTGTTAAAATAGTGGGACCTATTTATATAACATGTATTAAACATCACATATACATAATATCACATATACATGTCAGAACCGGATCAAATCCCAGCCGGGAGCCTTTCTGGGTGGAGTTTGAATGTTCACTCCATGCATGTGTGGATTTTCTCTGGGTACTCCCACATACCAAAAACATGTATGTTAGGCCGATTGATGACTTTAAACTGTCTCTAGGTGTGTGAGAGAGAGTGAATGGTTGTTTGTCTCGTTTGTCTCTATGTGTCCCTGTGATGGACCAGAGACCTGTCCTGGGTGTTCCCCGCCTCTCGCACAGCAACTGCTGGATATGGGCACCAGTGACCCCCGTGACCCAAGAAGGAAGAAGTGGGTAAAAATAATGGATGCACGGGATTTCCAGAACACAACCTTTGCAAGTAGCATCTGTTATGTAGCTACACACACAATCCTTCATTGTTAAAGTACTTTTTTTGATTGATAGAAAATAAAACTGAGCTTGAAAAGCAGAAGATGGGCAGAATGTTTGGCTTTGTGCTGACCGAGGCTACAGCTGTGTTCGATAACAAAAGCACAACCGTGGGAGGCCCACGTCTGAACAGCCCTGAATAAGAGCTGCAGCTGAAGAACATTTAAAATCGGGGTTTTCTAACTTGAGAGTGTTTAAGTTTAAGTCATGCATATTTATCACTAAACACAAGTTTTAATTTGTTTCTAGTTTTTGGAAGTCAAATATTTAAAAGCTATTATGTACTTGTACCATTTTAAGTTGTATGTTGTATGTGTGTGTGGAGTCTTTGAATCATACTAGTTTTTTTCTTCTCGTTTTACCGTACTTGCCGCCGTACACGTTGCATAAGTCCAAATACGTCAAATAAAGTGGAAAAAACCATAAATAAGTCGCTTCGCTGTATAAGTCACATCTATTATGCGGAAATGTGGCCGTTGTTGTGCCAAAAATCGATTGGCTGCCAAATGGTGGCCGCGGAAGCGTGCACGGGAGGACTTTAACAAGAATTTAACAAGATTAACACTTAAAAACAATTATTTGTTTGCTTGAAATTATAGCAAAGGTGTGTCTCAGTCTAACTTTTCCTTAATAAATGCACTTTAATGGTCGAATCAGTTACATTTCACCAGGGCGGCGCGGTGCAATCCAGCTGATTTGACGTTTGCTCCAGGTGTTACGAAGCGAGACGAAGGTGGCTCTGTATGGCAAGCCAAGTGTCTCATTAATAGCCACTTATACCTATTAATGAGACACTTGGTTTGCCATATAGGTCAAAGGCCCTCTAGTGGCTGAAAATGGAAGTGTTCAGTATTTTCCATGTCAGAATGAATGAAATCATCAGATCTCAGACAAAAATTGGGTTATAAATATGGGAAAAAAACATAAATAAGTCGCTTCGCCATATAAGTCACAGGGCATGCAAATTTATGCAAAAAGGTGTGACTTAATTAGTGGAAAGTACAGTAATTGCCATCTATACTATAGGTCAGAATACTAATTAATACTAATCTTTAATCATTCAACCTTTATTTAGACAGGTAGATCCCATTGAGCCTCGAGGACTCATTTACAAGAGAGACCTGATCTCAACAAAGAATGATGACAACAGCGACAACAATAGTTATAAAAAGGCATACAGATTTATCTATTTATTTATTTTTTGTATTTATTTATTAATATTTTTAACAAATAGGGCCTATATCGGCCTAAAATATCAGCCCCTACCAATATATCGGTCGGGCTCTAGTCTCAGCTGTTGGAAGCCTTCGCAGAATGAATGTGGAAATATTTTTTGTGATTGTGGTAAACCTTGTGCAAATAATTAGGCAGTGAAATCATGCAATGTGCATTTTTACAGTTTTTATACACAAACTCTGTGCTGTCTGTCAGTAACTGACTGGTGCCACATTTTGTTGCAGGTGATGTACTTCAGCTCCTTGTTTCCATATGTTGTCCTGATTTGCTTTCTGGTTCGGGCGTTACTCCTGAAGGGCTCTGTGGATGGGATTCGTCACATGTTCACACCCAAGGTAAAGAACACCTAAAAAGCACAATCTGTGGTTGAATAGATTTTTTTTTTTTATATTAAAAATTATAAATTAATTCATTTTAGTAATTTTATGTACTCTGACAAGTTTCCAAAAGGGGAGCTCAGTTTGCACCAACTCAGATGTCTTTTGTGGAAAACTGAATTCACTCCATTACAATTTACACGTCTTTATTATTTTTATATAATGTGTTTATAATGTACATACAGTGTTTCCCCTACCATTATACAAGACGGGCGCCCCGCCCTGTCAACAGAACGGAGTGCCCTGCCTATGGAACAGACCCCCACCCCCGGTTGACATCTGCCGCCACTAACATAGGGCTAAGCTAGTGGCCCATTACAGACGCGCTAGCTAAAAAGCTCGAGGTAGCGCTCTGATTCCCTCAAGCTGAGCTGCACATTCAGTACAAACAGTGCGCAACACAGACGTGCCACCCCACCCCCAACAAAAATCTCAAATGTGCGCATAATAATGTATGCAGTGGAACTAAAACAATGTAAGGGAAACACTGATAGCAGTACTCAACAAGGTATTCCTTTCATTTTCAATTCAATTCAATTCAATTCAATAATACTTTATTAATCCCAAAGGGAAATTATTTGTTGTAACTCATTATCCTCATTTCATTAAGAGATGTTATAGATGCTGATGACTGTAGACAGGAAGGATCTCTTGTAAAGGTCCATCCCACAGTGGATCCTAAGAAACTGGCTGCAGACCGTCCGATCCGTCCACCCAGACTCGGCTGGCCTCTCGGTTCCCCTGGACTGTAGGACCGCTTGAATGCTGGGCAGAACTCCTCTCAGAGCGATGGCCACTCCTCCCAGCAGTCTGCCGAGCTCCTCATAGCTGTGGACAGCCAACTGTAGGTGCTGAGGGACGATCCTGTCTATCCGCTGTCGTGAGCCGTGTTTCTTGCTAGTTCCAGGATCTCAGAGATCAGGCACTCGAGCACAGCTGGCAGGTAGATGAGAATGCGTCCACAGAACATCCTTTTCAACTCATTTGAGAGTTGGGGGCCATAGTTGAGATATTATTTGAGCTTTTGAAATGTTATTCAGC